AAGCTAGTGATATGGGGAAAACAACAACAACAATTGCCTTGAGTTGGACTAGGGTGATGGTTTAGCAGTGCTGACACTGTGATTGTTGTAATGTCACATCCATCTATGAGATCAGACATGCAAGGATAAGTCCAACCCCTGTGCAGCGTTGCACTGAGAGCGTAAGGAGTCAAAAAGTCAAACATGTTCCCAGTTGGTGTTGGTCTTTGTCAGGGTTTTCCCTTGTCACCAATCCTCTTTGTGATCTTTATGGATAGGATCTCAAGGTGCAGCCAGAGGGAGGTGAGTGCCTGGGGACCTCAGAATTGCATCTATTTGCCAATGATGTGTTTTTGTTGGTTTTATCTGACCGTGACCTCCAGCACACACTTGGGCAGTTTGCAGCTTCACAGGCAGTGATGATGAGTGTTAGTACCTCTAAATCTGAGGCCATGGTCCTCTGCAGGAGCACCCTCCATGTTGGGAGTGAGTTGCTGCCCCAAGTGAAGGAGTTTAAGTATATTGTTCACGAGTGAGAACAAAATCAAGCGTAAGATTGACAGGCGGATAGGGGCTGCATTAGCAATAATGCAGATGTTGTACCAGACCATTGTGGTGAAGCTCTCAATTTACTAGTCAGTCTACACTCCAACCCTCTCCTATGGTCATGAGTTGTGGGTAATGACCGAAAGAATAAGATCGTGAATACAAGCACCCAAAATGAGTTTCCTTCATAGGGTGGCCAGATTTACCCTTAGAGATAGGGTGTGGAGCTCGGACATCCAGAAGGGACTCAGAATAGAACCACTGCTCCTTCACATTGAAATGAGCCAGTTGGGGTGGTTTGGGCATCAGGATGCCTCCATGGTGCCTCCCTTTGGAGGTCTTCTGGCAGCGTCCAACTGGTAGGAGACCCCGGGGTAGACCCAGAAAATGCTGGAGAGATTATATATCCCATCTGGCCTGGGAACACCTCAGAACCCTGCCAGAGATGCTGGAACATGTCACTGGGGAGATGGACATCTGGACTACCTTACTGAACCTGCTGCCACTGCGGCCCAACCCCAGATAAGTGTAAGAAAATGGATGGATGAATGGATGGATACTACTTTTGGTAGGAAAAAAGATCTGTGTTGCTGCAAGGGCACCGAAAACCAGGGGCTTTATGGGCTATGTTCCGTACATAGTTCTGGAGCTGGTTTTTACTTCTGAGCTGCCTGAATGCTGAGTCTGTCTCCGACTGTTGTAACCACATATGATGTAGTTTCACAGACAGGGCAGGAGGGGCAAAGAGGAGCAGAGAGAGAGGAGGGGGACTACCATCTGAGCTTGTTCTGGCACTCACTCTCTAATGATCGAAAGCTAGAGGGTGAAAGTTAGAACCACTTTAATAAGCATGGCAATCATTTAAACTTTCATGTAGTGCCTATGTAAATTGATAAACAGACAAGGTACATGAAGATCTTTCTAATTCAACATAGCAGTCTCCTTGTGTGGAGATTTTGTGATAATGAATCTGGCATCAGCTACTATATAAATTTTACACTGGAAATATAATAGAGATCATGGTTTGAAAGTAACTATACTCCTCCATCAGAATGTCCCTTCATACTCTTTCAGAGCTGATTCTAGCTTTCAGCAGATCAAAGCAGTTCCTAGACCTTTACATCACAGACCTGCACAGAAAGCCCCAAGCCGAACCATCCCCCACACCAAGGCCTTTAGATAACACAAGCCATCACATCACGTGAACTAGCCTGCCAAGCTCAAGCCCTTTTCCTTATAACTGCCTTGCTTAGTGATGCAGCAGGATGGATGGATTCTGGGAAAACAACTGTAGCCGTGAAGGAACCAATTTCCCTAGCAACCCTGTTAACACAGGCTGTAGAAAGCAGACCCCCCCCCCCAAAAAAAAACTAAACTCTCAAGAACATGTCTCAATAATTCAAATGTAAACATTACAAAACAAGTAATTAAAATAGCCAGGTGATGAAAGACCAGAATGAAGTATGACATTGTATAACAAATGGTCAATGTTGTGCCTGTGTGGCCTGACAAGAAGGTAATGGGATGCACCAAAGAAAGTGAAAGAATGATGGGCTGTGACATCCATGTCCCCACACTCAAGGCCCATCACCCATCATTTTGATTCCACATGGCTTTAGTGTGAGTGATACAGTACAAGCATCAGCAGAAGATGCAAAAAGAAAAAACTTCATATCAAATACACAGTGGCAGAAAGTAGGAGAAATGTAAGGAAGGAAAAAATGAGAAAAGAAGACGTGGGGGAAAAAGGAGGAAAATATAGAGAAAAACTAAACAGAGATAAAGATATAACAATGACTGAAGAAAAAGAAGGACAGCAATGAAATTGGAGTAGAGATACTAAAAAAGGTGACGAATCATAAAGGAAGTGACAGGGATGAAAGCAAGGAGAAAATAAGAGTATGAAAGTCAAAAAGAAAATAGGAGTGAAGAAAGGGTATGAAAAGGATCGGAAAGGAAGTCAGAGGTCGGAAGTAGAGAAGAAGAACGCAGATTTTAACAGAACAGAAAAGGGAAGGACAGAATTGAAAAAAGAAAATTACAGAAAAGTAGTAGAAAGGTTAGAAAAATAGTAGAGGGGTGAAAGGAAGGAAAACAAAAGGAAAGTAGCTGAAAGGAAAGGATAGAAAGTAGCAGAAAGAGAAGGAAAGGAAAGCAGAGGAAACAATAGAGGAAAGGAATTAAAACACAGTACAGGAAAGGAACACCAGAAAAAGGAGGAGAAGGTTAAACAGAAAGTAGTGGAGATGAAATGATATCAAATAGAAAAGAAAAGAAAAGCTAAATAAAAACCAAGACTAGGGAATGGGGAACACAGATAAGCAGAGGAATGACAGGGAAAACATTAGATGAGACCAAAAAAGGAGAGCAAGGCATATTAGAGAGTGATGGGTCAGAAGGAAAATATACAGTGAAAGAGAAACAAAAGAGCAGAACTGGCTGATGAGCTGAGGAAGCAAGACAAAGCCACAGTGTCTCCTTACCAGATCCAGCTTCTCAGATTTCCAGACTGACATCTGGCCAACTCCCAGTAAATTCCCACAACAGAAAACTCTGTCCTTCCACTCCAGTACTCTCCAGTGCAGCCTCTGCTCACCTCCTCCATCTCCCTAAATTCTACTTGAAAAGCTTCTTTCACTGTGACACTGACATAAAATCTATATGCACCATGAAATCTCAACACAGCATATCTGACTGGACGAAGCCACAAAGTGGATGTAAAAAGCATATTTGGTGGCATCCTGTGGCATCCAACCATAGCGTCTTAGTCATTGTCACATTGTTCACTGCTTTACAAATGTGACACTGCTGTAACAACAAAGGTTTCTGTGTGAGACTGGCAGCTGTGGTGTTTCTCACTGATTACTGAGACTGTGGGGAGATGTACAGCAAGATGGAGTGTAAGATGTAGAGCACACAGTGGACTCACATTGTCTGTTCTGAGCTTCTTGGCAGGGCAGCCTCCATCCACAGGATGTAGCATGTAATAGAGCCGTACTTTGTTGGCGTGTTTCCGACTCTGGAGGAGAGAAAGGGGAAAACTGTAATTCAGGTAGAATGAAAGTTGCTGATTCTTGTTTCAATATTGTCTCCTCAGGGCCTCAGCTGTCAGTCAACCAGAACATACTATTCTCTTTTACCAGGAATCAGCCATTTGAAAGGTACTGTATAATGCACACATTTGTGTTGCAGTGGCTATAATCAATATAGTTTTTAACAACAGTGTCTCAAATGACAATATGAAAACAATGTGACAATGAGGCAGGGGTTGCTTCTAGTGATGAGCAAAGAATTATCACCTACAGTACATCTCTTTAGCTGTTAACTTTGCTGTTTTGATTCACTCTCACTGTTCATAGCATTTTGCTTGGCTGCGCCCTGCAGGACAGCTAGTTGGCAGCTAGTTGATGAACATAATAGTGCAGCTGAAGCGAGAGACACTTCCTTCAGGAATCAGTAGAGTCCAAACACAGAAAATAATGTGGATACAAACACAACTCCAAATGAATGACGGTGTTAATCTGCTACTGCTGGATGTACAGTACTGTATAACTATGCCACAGTTTGCTTACAAGTTTGCCATTTCAACTTAAAATGTGATGAAACATTAGTGTTGTGTTGACAACAGGTTCTCACTGTTCTCAAGTGGCCAAAAAATAAAAAACCTGTTATCGCAATATTAATAAGAAGAAAATTATCGCAACTACAAAATACAGACATGAAAGGGAAGAGAAAGACAAGGGTGACATGCAACATAGCTCCTCAACTGAATATACGTACAGTAAACTGAGGACATTTTGGTTCATGGTCAGTGCCATAAATCCTACAGGTCATCAGGGTGCCACTGAACAACAAATGGAAAATCCAATTTTTTGTCACTAGTTGTTTTAGAACAAAACAATTAAATGTGTACACGGACTAAAAACAATGACTTTGCTGGTGTCAAACTGCTTCATAGTTACAGTAATAAGCAATGTGTAGTTACAGCCTCATGAATGACCCAGTCTGCCTCACACAGACTGGAACACAGAAGTGAAAGTTGAAAAGTAAAAAGAACATTGATATTCGATTGGTATTTTTTTGAGTCAGCCAATAAACTGAATTCTGATATTGGAATTAGTTTTAGGAGAGAAAAGTGTGATCAGACCACCCCCTAGTTAAATCATAACATTGCATTTTTGTAGTCAGCAAAATAAAGTTACAATATGTAGTTTTTTTTCCTTTTTGTAGTAAAAATATGCTCCGAAAACTCATCGTAATGTGGAGCAGTGCTGTCGAAGCCTCCAGTGACCCAGGTACACTGAACAGCACTGGCAGCAGTGAAAAGATATTAGCTTCTAAAAGGTTGTAGGGATAGGGTTGTACCTACAGTTACCTCACTCGAAGGCATCCAGGAGACATCGTATCCATGCCTGAACTACTGATCTCACATAAAAAATTGCCCAAACAAGGTAACATCACTACTTGCAGTGACCTCAAGAAATATTCAGACCCCTTCACATTTCACACACATTACTGTGTTGTAGATAAAAATTTTGCCCATTAATCAACACGACACTCAATGACCCATAATGACAAAATGAATTTTTTTTTTTTTTTTTTTTTTTTTGCAAATGTCATGAAAATCAAAAACTGGCATGTCTCGTTCATTCACTGATTCATTCATTGATTCATTCATTCAGGTATTCAGACCCTTTGTTGTGACACCCCAAACTATGGTTAGGTGCATCTTTTTTGCTTTAATTGTCTTTGAGATATGTCTAGAATTTGACTGTAGTCTACCTTGGACATAGTTTAGAAAGGCGCACAGGCATGTGTATTTAAGGTCCCACAATTCACAATTTGTCACTAAAGGTTTTTGAGTGTAGGCTGATGCACAAAAATGGTAAAGTTATCCATTTAAATCTATAGCCAACAGAACAAAAGCTGAAGGGGCCTGAGTACATCCTGAAGGTAATGTAAATGTGAAGTGTGGAGAAGACAGTAATAAAATCTTCAGCACAGTGAAAGAACAGAGTAAAGAATCCCAACAAGTGAGACCTGGTAATCTGATATCAACAAATCATGTGTTTCTGTGTTCATGCTGGTGGATTCAGCACCCCTTTGGTGCAGAGTATACACACTTGGGGTAATCACTGTTATGTATTAAATATTATGATGAACAATTGCACTGTTAAAAGTGTCGTACTTTCACACTTCAATTAAGTCTTCATTAAAATATGCTTTTAGAGCAAAAGGCCAAAAGACATTGAACCAGACTGAATTAATGGCCTGTGTTACATCAGTTTATGCTTTCCTGCCAATTCCAACACACACTCCTGTTTTAAAGATCTAACTTAGGTCTGCATCGGGTAGAGGTCCATCACCAAAAGAAAAAGAAGAGCAGAATCTCGCTGGTGCTACTTGGCCTGAGTTGATAATTAGTGCTCGCTTCACTGAGGGCGAAGCAGGGGTCCTCTTACCAGCTGCCCATCGATTCCCTAGGATCTGATAGCAGAGCCAAAGCAGGGCAAAGGTGAGATTTGGAAGAACAGAATCAGAAACAGCTTCTGTTTTACAAGGTGAAGCTTCACATTTCAGGAGAGGTGGTGCAGAATGGAAGGAAAACCTCCAGTGTGTATTTTAGCTGCATAATCAGAAGAAACCACAGAAGAGAGAGAGTTTATAGTTACAAGAGGCACGGCTACTGAGGCACGTTGCAGTGTGCACAGGTGCATGGAGCATTGCCCCATCAGGCAGAAGGACAGCTACTGGCTTCTCTTCACAAGGTCATGACAGACGAACTCATCACGCCGGGTCAGAGAGTGAGAGTGAGGGAATGTATTTGTCTTGCCTGTCTGGTTTCCTGGCAGACGTACTGCGACCTGAGTTCTGTGGCTTCTTTAGGAAAAAGAAGCATGAAGGATACATGGCAATTAACTCAGTACACTTTCTTTAAAATCTGTTCTGTTGCGATAAACTCCCCTTAAAATAAGTGTTCTACAGTATTTGCATAATAATTATGATACTTGAAGCTCAAATGAACAAGAACAAATCACATTCTGCCGTTACATAAAACACCCATCTTGTTACTTCCTGTATATATTGTATTTCTGAAATGTGAAGTTGTTTCTGTTCATTTTGCCTGAATATAACATGCTCACTGCAGCAGCAGAGATGTGTCAAGCTGTGTGCGAAGAAGGAAAACTTGACCATTTGAAATTGTAATTTTCTCTCCAACTTAGAACCAAGCACAGGTTTAAATTAAATAAGCAAGAGGATTGTTTTTTTACACAATGGCAGAATCAGCTCTGTACTGTTCAAACTACTCCTGTGCTAAAATATGATTTTTTTTTACCTTTATTTTGTCATATGATAAGGGATAATGATTATGGGAAAACTGCTATTCCACAGGAACAAAACAATCAAACACAGTGTTTAACTTCAATTTCCTGTGAGGTCATTGAGGCTACACAGAGGCATCATTTTACAGCAGGCTGGGTTTTGATTCATCCCCTGAAATCATCAGTGATTTTTATTTTTCTCAGATGCATAACTTGTTATGTCACCCCAAAGTGCTTTTTTATGCACTTAGGTAACATCTCTCCTTTGCTGCTGAGAGCTACTTGTGTTTCTGCAGTGCAAACACTTCCTGCTCCAAACTGGACAGAAATTCTCCACTTCACCAGCTCATCATAGAAGAAACAGCACAAAGTGGGTTATTTTGCACACTGACCTTTTTACACTACTATTTGCACATTTAAAATTCCATGTATCTGCTAGTTGTAGCTGTATAGAATTTATTTGCATAACCTTCCTGATTATCAAGTAGGACTACCTGCGTATGCCATCACAATTATTTTAGCACTCTGCACAGGTCCCACTGTGGGTTTGTAAAGCACCAATTACAGCATATTAAAGGAACAACAGTTCGATAGTTTGGATCTAACAGTGTGGCTCTAAGGATGGAAGTGTTAATCAATTCACCACTTTGGTCCAGAACAAAACATCTCGGTAACTACTGCAATAACTTCCATTACATTATATACAGACATCCATCTGAGTATTCTGCTTACTGACTGACTGATCCCCTGAGGTTCTTCTGTGGTTCTGAAAAAGATATCTCAACAACTGCTGAAAATATTGCCATGAAATTTGGCGAAGACATTCACACATTTGCCCTCATGATGAATTCTAATAACTTGGGTGAACCCTGTGGCTCCAGAGCCACCATCAGCTCAAAAGTTCAATGTCAAATACCTCTCTTTATACAAAGCCCTGATTCAGCCACAGTCAACATCTGTCTGCATTCATCTCTGGATGTGACCTACTGAATAAATAGCCGTATGTGGTGGGACACCAAACACACATGCATTAGTAGATCAATCTTCTTCTACTTTCGGGTGTTCCCATTAGGGGTCGCCACAGCAAATCATCAGCTCCCACCAAACTGATGATGCGCACATTAAACTTAACATGGTTCTACGCTGGATGCCCTTCCAGATAATGTATAATTTAGAGTCGCCGATCAACATGTCTTTGGGAGAAAACTGGAACACCCAGAGAAAACCCACGCAGGCACAGGGAGAATATGCAAACTCCACCAGGTCGGCAGGGGCTCGAATCTGGAACCTTCCTGCTGTGAGGCAACAGCGCTAACCACTGTTCCGCTGTGCATTAGTAGATGAATAATATCTGCGAATCCATTCCAGAACCTGGTTTTGCTGACTCATCTGAGGCGCACACCTCCATTGTTGTCTGAAAACTATTAATAACACATCAGTATGCTATACCACTGCACTGTTTCTTCACCATGAAATACATGGAGTATGTCTCATGCCAGAAAGAGCTCAGAAGGCAAAGAACAGCCATCACTTTTTACAATCTTAAGTAAGAAAGAGTCAACTACACATACATGTGATCTTTGCGTTGCTTACACTAATCCACTAGCTTGTCATGTTCTTATGTGCAGTGATGGTCCAAGGACTGGTCCATACATTATTCAATTCAATTTTGTTTTATTTGTATAGCACCAAATCA